TAAACCCATAGAGGTTATATAGAACTTAGGAAATGGGAAGTGATCAAGTTTGATATAAGGATGGGGAGGATAGGTACAATTTCTTGAAACAAGTTCTTGACTGGCATCAGTGGACCACCTGAAAATGCACTGGCATTTATGACCAGCTGCTACAAATTTATAGGATAACTTTTTTTTTATATTGGGTTTTGGGAGGTTATATCATTTAGAATGCTAATTTATTGATGTACTACTGCAGAATGATAAACTATAATTTTTTTCCATTTGTTAATGTAAAACTTTCCAAGACTCTAAGTAATCCTGAAGGGACTGGCTCCTTTTAATTTCTGTGTAGACAGTTTTGTCAGAAAGTTAATCACAGTACTAATCTATAACATGATCTTTTGCAATCTTTTCAGTTTTTTCCTAGGTCATTTGTTTGTCACATTTATTACAGTAAGTCATCTGTAAATTAGACATATTACCCTAAGCCATCTGTAATCATTATTTATTACCCCCAAGTAATCTGTACATCATATATATTATCATAAGTCATCTGTAAGTTGTACATGTTAACCCTAAGGCAGTTGGAACACATTTATTGCCCTAAATCATATTTATTACCCTAATTCATCGGTCATATTTATTACCCTAAGTCATCTGTAAGTCATAATAAATTCTTTTGTTAGTATGCTTGAATGAAGTACAGGTCCTCCATCACAAATCTGGCATCATTGGGACCTGTAGTGTGCCGGATTACTGAGTTTGCCGGATTACAGAGTGGCTAGGTTAGAATACACTTAATAAAATTAACCAACTTGACTTACACAAAGTTCATTGAACATTGGCAAAAATCGAACATTTCCGCTACTTTGAGCTCAATTTCAAGGTACTTTTCATCATGAAAGCAATCAAAATTATGTCTATTTCTGTAATATATCTTCCATTCTATCAAACGAGTCCAAAAAGATGAGAATACAACCATAAAAACCATACGAAAATATACTGCAGAGGCGGCTAATGGCTGAGAAGTGAACTCCCTTATTTATCGTCCGTCTTTTTTATTTTTGTTGTATGTTAAGAAGCATTGTTCCATCATACATTGCCCAAGTTTCAATGAGATAGCCCAACAAACAACTGAGAAAAAAATATTTACCAAAAATCATATATGGCAAGCCCAAGCCAGGTACTGGAAATAAGTCACTGTCTGACTTTTTTGGGTTATCCTAGGTTCTCTATACATATGCTGCTATGTATGATAATCTATGTAACTGTATTTGTGTATACCTGAATAAACTTATTTACTTCTAGTCTGTCAACTGAGTACAAGAAACTGCCCATTCACTTATTTCAACTACCTAATAAAGTGGTCAGAAATTGGCAATTTGGCCAATTTCACACAAATTTCAACAGATGCCAATTTCAAAATAGGATCCAGAATAAACAATGCAGACATTCCTAGTACTAAAATAACATTTTCTCTGTTAATTAGTCATGGCTACATGCCCCTCTTATATTACTCTTGCTTACCATTTGGAATTTTTATTCACACAAAAATAGAAGATTTACTGTTATGCAGACTGCTGCATTATTGTAATAATTGTATAAATAATGTCAATCCATTCTTGACTACGTATTGGAATTTGGACTGGCAGGCGGACAGGTATTGGACGATGATGTCATTTGTTTACTCTTGAGCTTTGCTAAAGAATAGAACATTTTCGCTACTGTGAGCGCAATTTCAAGGTACTTTTTGTCATGAAAGCAATCAAAATCATATCTATTTCTGTAATATATCTTTCATTCTATCAAAGGAGACCGAAAAAATGAAAATACAACCATAAAAACCATACAAAAATATACCGCTAAGCGGCCGCTAATGGTTGAGAAGTGAACTCCGCTATTTATGGTCTGATTTCTTTCATTTTTGGTGTACGTTAAGAAGTATCTTTCCATCATACACTGCCCAAGTTTCAATAAGATAACCAAACAAACAACTGAGAAAATAATAATAATAATAATAACAATAATAATAATAATAATAATAATAATAATAATAATAATAATAATAATAATATCTTTATTTACTACACGTACATGTACATGGGATACAGACATAGCTGACATCAGTGACATACTACTATATAGAAAGCCGCTTGTTATGCAGAGTATTTCAAGAAAATTATGTCAGTGTCCCAGGATAACACCCACACTAGTTGGCTAACACCCAGGTACCCATTTACTGATGGGTAAACATAGACAACAGGTGTAAAGAAACACGCCTAATGTTTCTACCCTGGCTGGGAATCGAATACAGTGGACCCCCGGTTTACGATATTATTTCATTCCAGAAGTATGTTCAGGTGCCATTACTGAACGAATTTGTTCCCATAAGGAATATTGTGAATTAGATTAGTCCATTTCAGACCCCCAAACATACACATACAAACGCACTTACATAAATACACTTACATAATTGGTCGCATTGGGAGCTGATCGTAAACCGGGGGTCCACTGTATTTACCAAAAATCATATGTGGCTAACTCAAGCCAGGTACTAGAAATAAGCCACGTTGACTTTTTTGGGTTATCCTAGGTTCTCTACACATATGCTGCTATGTGTGATAATCTATATAGAGAAAATAACTTTTTTGTTTCAGTTTTATGGTGCAGTATGAGTGTATATCACAATTAGCCCTGTGCTATACTCCGTTTTCTCTAATATAAGCCCCATGACAGGGATAGGAGAATGGTATTCGTATACCATATTCTCTTCATACCTCCATCGAACTGCTTGGTGTTATGCCAATTATTATTACATGTATTATCAAGGGGGAAGCGCTAAACCCGTAGGATTATACAGCACCCAGGGGGGGGATGTGGAAGGCATTCAGGCTTAATTCGGGGAACTGGAGCACAGATTCAATTCTCTAAATCAAGAGCCCCTCACCAACATCAAGGAACCTTCCATGAGGGGAGGTGTTATGCCAAATATTATTTATTCTGGAGTATTTAACATGTTTTATGTTATTTATATTGTTTATTATGTCATATTAGATCAATTGTGATAGGCAAATAAGCTGTAGTGTTGATATTAGCATAATAAAGCATATTCTCCTGCATCATGAGACTGAGTTCATGACAACTGACAGTGGCTTCAAAGCCACCTTATCTTTAATGGATAATGTACTGTGTAGGTGCTTTACATAATGAGAAACATTTCTTTTATTCATTGGAACCATGGCTAGGGCTAAAAGCAAGCAGGTTATAACAATAAACGGAGAAAAAGAAATTGGAATGACTTATGCAGCAAGTAGCACCACCAAACAGTACCAGCAGGTTGGTGTGGCGACCCTGGAAATTTGAAATTATGCTAGCTGAAATTAGTGCCAAATAACTGAAGGAACCGAATAACTGATTACCGGATTTGTGATGGCAGACCTGTACAGTAAATCCTCAATACATTGGGATAATAGGGAAGGAGTTTCCAAGTCTTTTAAATCAAAACAGCATTCAAACAGCAAAAAATGCATTTAAGTACTCTGCTGTATGGTAAATATAATATTGTACACACAATTTACAGATTTACTAAACGAGTTAAAATTACAATTTACCCAATGGACTTTTGCCCATATTTGATTCTTAATTTTATTTTCATAATGCTAATTAGATTTGTAAAGTGAATGCCAAATTTGTTTATGATTAAACCATTTCAAATTGTGCCTATAACCAATAATTCAAATTCATATTTTTATTTCCTTTTATACATTATAAAAATAATGTAGTTTACATGTAATAAAACATTGTTAGACACAAATGAAAGTCACTAGCATGAAGTGCACTTTGGGCAAACTCATCCTAATGCTTAATGACTATATAAGAATTAGACTTGGACTATTATCCCTTTCACTGTCGGTCCCGTAATATTACAGCTTGCAAGCCAGTGTCTAGCAGCTTCCAGTCTTGCAGGAGAAAGCTGGTAGGCCTACATATGAGAGAATGGGTCTGAGTGGTCAGTGTGTGCAGTATAAAAAAATTCTCCAGCACGCAGTGCATAATGAGAAAAAAAACCATGATTGTTATTTTCTTTAAAACGGCAACTTTGCGGTGTATTTTCATATGGTATTTATGGGTGTATTCTCTTTTTCTTGGTCTCATTTGATTGAATTGAAGATATAGTATATGGTTTATGGAATAAAAGTACATACCTTGAAATTGAGCTCAAAGTAATGGAAATGTTTGATTTTTGCTGATGTTCAAGAGTAAACAAATCACGTCACACGTCCAATACATGCCAACTGGTGGGTCTAATATGCTCTCACATATGCCCTGATATTATTTATATCATTTTTACAATAATGCAATAGTCTGCATAACAATAAATCGTCTATTTTTTGTGTGAATAAAAATTCAGAATGGAAAGCAAGTGTAATATAAGAGGGGCCTGGAGACATGATTAATGAACAGAGAAAATGGTATTTTAGTGCTAGGAATGTTTGCACTGTTAATTCTGGACCCTATTTTGAAATTGGCCTTCCTTGAATTGTGTATGAAATTGACCAAATTACCAAATTCTGATCACTTTATTGGGTAGTTGAAATAGGTAAATGGGTAGTGTCTTGTACTCGGTCGATAGAACAAAAGGAGTTCTTGCAAAATAGCTATGAGTTTGGTCGACTGGAGCAATGGAATTGGCTGAAATTTGGCTGATTTCTAAATATTGCTGAGACCGCAAACTTTTGCAAGAGTGTAATTCCATAAGTTTTCCATCAAATATCGTACTTTTGGTGTCATTACCATTGGGAAAAGATTCTCTATCATTTCATAAGAATTTTTTTTTTTTAAATTCTTGGACACTGAGATCAAGTTTGTGAGCAGGGTCTTGACAGTGAAAGGGTTAAATAGGATTTCTTATACAGTTAAATACAATCACATGTATAATAAGAAAGGTAGCTAATGAGCATATGGTACAATTATAAAAGTATAACTTATTTTTTCTACCTGATTCAATACTTTATAAGGTTGCTGTGGCAGCAGCCCTTGGAGCTGGAGTGGTTGTGGGGGCCGGCACAGCATATCTTCTCACCCGCATCAGTGAGCACACCCGTCTCACACAACAGATTTCCAGTCTTCATGCCACTATTTTAGAAGTTAAAGACATTGCTTCATTAGAAACAGGTGATATGAGAAAGCTAAGCTGTCAGATCAGTCGATCTGCTGAACATTTTTTGTTTTTCATTTTTAATGGTCTATCATTTTATTGTACATTAAGATACTTGATCTGGGCGTTCAAATTATATGCAGTGTTTAATTAAAAAAAATTTGTTGTCAAAATTATTCAATAATTCTAGATATATGTACTGTCTTCATTTTTTTTTTACCATACAAGTCATCTCCCACCTTAGTAGGGTTGTCCAAACACTTTCACTATCATTTATTCAATAGTGATCTTGCCAGGAGTGTGTAGACATCACAGTTCAAATGATCCTTTGAACTGCAACTTCACAACACCTCCTTCAGAATGCAGATACTGTATTTGCAACCTCCAGGACTCAACTCTGGCTAACCAGTTTCCTTGAATCCCTTCATTAATGTTAATCCCTTCATTGCTGTACCTTCCTTACACCAACGTCTTGTCATAGTCTAAAAGGAAATTTGCCTCCACTCCAGTTTGACATGCTCATATTTGTCCATGCTACTTAAACTTCCTTCACCCCCCTCTTTCCAGTCCTCTGAGATAATTCCTTCCATTCCTTCCTTCCATCCCAGATTGATATGGCCTCCTCTGCTACATTCTCTGTGCCACTTTTTGAATTATACTTTTCATAACCCCACACCATCTTCCAATTTTTATATTTTTAATTTCTCATTCTCATGAGAGGGGAAATAACCTGTTTAATTTGGTTCTGGCAAACAAGATAATCCTGTTAATAATCCAGAGATTACAGAGGAACTTGGCGTAAGTGACCCCAAATCGATTACATTTAACGTTGAATAGAAGTATGATAGTAGGGATAATTCAGTAAGGGTCTCAGAATTTTGTTTAGCAAATTACTATGAGCTTAAAACACACCAATCATGTGTGGACTGGTGTAACTGAAAAATATCAATATGATATTTTTCTAAACACTATACATGCTGCCCAAAGAATATTTATTCTGTGTAGAGAAATAAGATCGAATAGAAATTATCCAAAATGGATGAACAAGAAACTCAGACATCTTTTAGGACAGAAGAAAGGAATTTATAGGTATATCAAAAGAGATGAGGGTCATTTTATGAATCAATATATTCACATTAGGAGGGAGGTTAAAAAAGGGACAATAAAACAGGACTATGAAGTTAAAGTTGCTTAGGATTTAAAAACTAATCTGAAAGTTTTTTCCAAGTATATAAAACAAAGCTAGGTCCACTTAAAACTAACTGCCACAGCTTACTGACAATAAGAATGAAATGTGCTCTATTTTTAACAATTATTTTTCCTTGGTTTTCACTCAAGAAGTCACAAATGATATACTGTACCAGTAATTAATTATTATAGTGGGCCTGATATGGTAATCAAACAAGTTGACTAAGTAAAACAAAATAAATCCCCAGGCCCCAATTAACTTTTTTTAGGTGTACTTAAAAAGTGAAAAATGAAACTTTGTGAACCATTATCTAACTTATTAATATATCTCTTCAGACAGATGTAGTGTATGAGATGTGGAAGATGGGTAATGTAATTCCTACTTTTAAAGCAGGGAATAAGTCACTGCCATCAAATTTTTGCCCAGTAAACCTAACCTCAGTTGTAGGCAAATTATTAGTCAATTATAGCTGATTTTATAAGAAGCCACCTTGAGAATCATAATTTGATTTATGAAACTCGACATGGATTCACGAGGGGCCAGTCCTGTTTCATTAATTTACTGACTTTCTTCAGCAAAGCATTTGAGGCAGTTAAGATAAGATAAGATAAGATTTCGTTCGGGTTTTTAACCCTGGAGGGTTAGCCACCCAGGATAACCCAAGAAAGTCAGTGCATCATCGAGGACTGTCTAACTTATTTCCATTGGGGTCCTCAATGTTGTCCCCCAGGATGCGACCCACACCAGTCGAGTAACACCCAGGTACCTATTTGCTGCTAGGTGAACAGGACAACAGGTGTAAGGAAATGTGTCGAAATGTTTCCACCTGCCGGAAATCGAACCCGGGCCCTCCGTGTGTGAAGCGGGAGCTTTAGCCACCAGGCCTGGTTGATCATGATAATAGGATATTGTTTATTTAGGTTTTGGTTAAGCTTTTAATAGAGTACCATACAAAAGTTTGTTAAGAAGGGCCTTACCAATCCTCAGGAGAGTTGACAAGAATCGAATATTTCCACTATTTTGAGCTCAATTTCAAGCTACTTCCACTCTGCAAACCAACCAAAATAATCTCTGTTTCAGTAGTATATCTTCTGTTCTATCAAATGATACCAAATAACAGTCAATAAAACTAAAAAAAAGCATCAAAGGAAACACCTGAAAGTTGCTATTTTAAGTCATACACATGGTTGAGTTTTGCTTTTCCCAACATGTACTGTATGGGGTAGGAATTATTTTTTATATGCTGTGCACATTCACTGCACAGACCCATTCTCTCATATCTAGGGAAAAATTTACCACTCACAGCTTATCTGAGTGAGCTGAGCTCATGTCATAGAACTACATGAGGGACTCTGGCCTCAATGATGTCATTCTTGCTGACAGCCACTGAAAGGGTTAAATAAGTATTGTACAGTTATTCTAAACTCATACAGATGTTGTGGACACATTAAAGCATGTTATTATAGCATAATACAGGATGATTTAACCTAGTATAACCTTAGAAAGTCAAACAGTGTGAATATACTCACCTTAAATTATGACTGTTTTTGCCTAAGTTGCTTGTTGTCAGTGCAGAGGCTTGGTGTGGCCCTACTGGACCTCAGATGGGGTGTATGAAGTAGAGGGGTGTGTTCGTGGGCTGAGTTTATGGCTAGGATTTATGGTCTGAGGTCGATCCAGAGTTGTTACTTGCAGGAGCCCAAAAGTAGTCTGTTGTGTGTCTCTGCAGTGGTAATAGATAAAAAAAATATAATTTGTGAACAGAGGGAAGGACAGCACATGGAGGCACAGAAGGTAGTGATCTACTGTATATTAAACTTGTTCCTATTGGTCAGTCATAACTGGATATGACAGCACCAGCATGTTGGGGATGAGACAGAATGAAAATAAAGGACATAAGAATATGTTACATGTTCAGCATGTAAGCACCTTGAGGCCAAATCAAATGGGTGGTGAGTTTTCAGCAATGTTTATGTTAGTAAAAAAAACTATACTACAACCTAGGATAATTTACATAGAACAGAAATAGTAGCAAGCACTATCATAACCTACAATAAACAGGAATAGTTGAAAACACTAATAATACAGAATTTAACCTAAGTAAAAATATAAATGGATAAAAACGGGAAACACAAACCAAGGTATATATGTGGACAAGAGCAGCTCTGAGAGAGAAGCAAGGGTTGAGACTTTCCTGGGTGCACAGGGAAAGAAATGTGGAGAGAAGAGATATTAGGCTAAAATATACAAGCATCAAACTAAACATGCTTATCTCAGACCTAAAGATATTGCCAGCAGGAGATGTATACAACTGGAAGACTGAGAAGTGTAGCCAGCAAACTACTGCTCTGCCAAATGGCAGAAAAGAAGAATAAAGCCTATCAGAGACTTTTCCCTTAAATTGCTTTCCTCAGTTGCTCATTTAATATTACCACTCCTTCAGTAACTTTTGTTCTCTCAGATTGAGTACTTGTGACTTAATTCCATACACTTCTTCCTATTCAAACACTTTAACTCTATTTAACTTTGCTTAGTGCCAAGATATCAGCTTCCAGTTATTCATAAAACTAAGAATCATGTTTTCTAACATCCACACACACACATGCATGCAAACACACACACACAAACACCCCTGCAACCACAAATAGGTGAGTACACACAAAGAGCAAAGAAAACCACAGATGGAGTACAGTCTAGGGTGCCAGATGCTACAAACCTCACTCGAGGAAAAGGATCTTGGTGTGAGTATGATACTGAGCACATCTCCTGAGGCGCACATCAGCCAAATAACTGCTGCAGCATATGGGTGCCTAGCAAACCTGAGAATAGCATTCCAATACCTCAGTAAGGAATTGTTCAAGACTCTGTACACTGTGTACATCAGGCCCATACTGGAGTGTGCAACACCAGTTAGGAACCATACACTTGGTCAAGCACGTCAAGAAATTAGAGAAAGTGCAAAGGTTTGCAACAAGGCTAGTTTCAGAGCTAAAGGAAATGCCCTACAAAGAAAGGTAAGGGAACTTGGCCTGAGGACGCTGGAGGACAGGAGGGTTAGGGAAGACATGATAACAACATACAAAATACTGCGAGAAATTGACAAGGTGGACAGAGACAGAATGTTCCAGAGATGGGGCATAGAAACAAGGTGCCACAATTGGAAGCTGAAGACTCAGATGAGTCAAAGAGAGCTTAGGAAGTATTTCTTTAGTCATAGAGTTGTCAGAAGTGGAATAGTCTGGTGAGCGATGTAGCGAAGGCAGGACTCATACATAGTTTTAAGACGACGTATGATGAAACTCATGGAGCAGGGCAGGAGAGGCCCTAGTAGCTATCAGTGAAGAGGCAGGACCAGGAGCTATGTATTGACACCTGCAGCCACAAATAGGTGAGTATGCACAGACACACACAGTATAACACTGGGCACATCTCCTGAGGTGCACATCAATCAAATAACTGTGACAGCTTATGGGCACCTAGCAAACTTAAGAACAGCATTCTGACATCTTAATAAGGAATCATTCAGGTCCCTGTACACTGTAATTTAGGTCCATATTGGAATATGCAGCACCAGTTTGGAACCCACACCTAGCCAAGCATGTAAAGAAACTAGAGAAAGTGCAGAGGTTTACAACTAGACTGGTTCCGAAGCTAAGGGGTATGTCCTACGAGGAGAGGTTAAGAGAAATCGACCTGATGACACTGGTGGACAGGAGAGAGAGAGAGGGGATATGATAACGACATACAAAATACTGAGAGGAATCAACAAGGTGGGCAGAGACAGGATGTTCCAGAGATGGGACACAACAACAAGGGGTCACAGTTGGAAGTTGAAGACTCAGATGAATCAGAGGGATGTTAGGAAGTATTTCTTCAGCTACAGAGTAGTCAGGAAGCAGAATAGTTTGGGAAGTGATGTAGTGGAGGCAGGATCCATACATAGCTTTAAGCAGA